ATTACATTGAATGATTTTACGATTAAGGTTACATAAACGTGTTGGATAGCCCGTTTTAATTAAAAATTGAAATTATGAATTTATGAATATTTTTACTTATATACTCTTTTTAAGTTTAATTTTTCTTGGAGTAAGGGACTTTCCTTCCTTTTTCCGACATCAACTCACACTTAATTTCATTCAATTTTTTTTTACGAAATATTTGAGATTTTTATAATGCAAAATATATGTGAGAAAAAATTTTATATAGACTTGATACATCATATCATTCATGATTCATCAAATAAAAATATAATATTTAGATAATATTAAATATAAATTGATTCTAACATTAATGATAGTAGAAAAGAAAAATGCAAAAAATTAAACATACATTTTAATATTTTATTATAAAAATAAAATTATTAAAATAATGACACATGAAATTTTTTCAATTAAAATGGTGTAATTTTTTTAAATGCACTATAAATGATATGATGAATTAAGTTTATATAAAAATTTTGTCAATATGTGATATTGTTGCTCTGTTTAGTCACGACACGAACATTGTCAATTCTAACGTCCTCGACATTCATGTGAAAGCAAAACATCGCAAAAGCACTGAGATTTGAGCTCATTAACTCATGCTTTTTCCCCCCCTACGATGAAACATTAGCGTCGTGCCTTCGTTTTTTCTCATCTCTATATTAGAACCAATTTTTTAAGGATTTAAATTTTGTAAATTTGAGAATTCGTGAAATTTATTTTTTAGAAAATAAAAAAAATTACGTTTTGTTAAAAAAATAAATGAAAATATTAAAAAATAACAAATTTTTTTACCCTCAACTTTAAAAGATTTAAATATTTTTTTTACGTACAAAACACCAGAAATCGTTTGTGTACGTATTACACATGCTATTTATATATAAACAAAGGTTAAAATGTATTAAATCTCTCTAAACTTTGAAATAGTTATATATTACCCTTTTCACCTTTAAATATTTAAAATTAACCTTCTTAACTTTTAATTTTATTTTTCAAAACCTCCTAGTGTTAATTATACTATTTTTCATAAAGGTTAAAAATGTCATTTAACTAAAATATGTTATTAAAAAAATTATATTGTATAATTATGGCTAAATAATTTCTTATATTTTTTGGATAGTTGAGACATTGATAGCCAAAAAATTTTTATTACCACCATATAAAAATTTTAAATATTTACTTTTGTATTAGTTTTATCCATTTTTTTGTTATTAATAGTGCATCATTTTCTTGAATTAAAGGATGAATTAATCTAACCTGGTAATATTTAAAATTTTAAATATCTTAATCATATGCATTACATTAATCTAACCTAAAAATATAAATAAAAATTTATCCTTTAAAATAATAAAAATATGCAGAATTGATAACAAAAAAATGAATAAAACTAACATAAATATAAATATTTTAAATTTTATACAGTGATAATAATATGTTTTTAGCTATCAATGCCTCCACTATTTAAAAAATATAAGAAATTGATTATAAGTAGTTTTACAATACAATATTTTTGTTTAATAATATTTCTAATTAAACGAGATTTTAGTTCTTATGAAAAAAATAAAATAATTAATACTAGGGGCTTTAAAAAAAATTAAAAATTAATGGGTTTAATTTTAATTTTTTTAAAAGTGAGGAGAGTTATATATAACTATTTTAAAATTTAAAAGAGTTTTATTATACATTTTAACCATAAACAAATGCAATGCAATATTTCTTCAGAAAGAACAAGAATCATTTTTGTCTCTGCTCTGTTTACAAAAAGATTTGGCATTACTTATCTTCCTTTTCAACATATCAACTTAATTGATTACCTTTATATTCTCAAAATTTTACTAGTAATTAATGTAGTTTTTAACTTTTAAGTTTGCGGGAAAAATTACCATCTTTTTACATTTTTTTTTCAGATTATCCCCTAATCAGTAGTTATGAGATTAATTTGTCAAGAAATTTGATGTCCATTTAAGGAACATGTTATCCTTTTCCAAAAGGTGCTTCATATATATATTTTCAGAAATCGAACTATAAAATGATGCTTAAAGATCCAAAACTGTTATCATCTATATATCACACCCATTCGACAATTTTTTAACTTATTTAATGAACCTACTTCCATTTAACTGATCCACTCATGAAACGCTGAATTAATTCATGCACTTCTAGAATTTCAGAAACAGTTAAAGTTACTTATTCATACGTTTCTTTCAGAGACAATTATCTATCCTCTGAACAGATGTCAAAAACCATTTTCCAGATGTCAATATCAAAATCGATCATCAATAGTTGCGTAATCTTTTTTATCCAAAAAAGGTAATTTGGTAACAAGGAAACATGATTACAAATTTAAATTGGCATGAGCAAGTGGGACTCTAATAAAAGAGTAATTAAAGTCTTTGATATTATCAGTGGTGTACTTATGTTGGAGCTGCCCCACAAGCAAGGAAATAATTATTACATTATAAGACGACTGACATAAATTTATTTGCTCTCCTTAAAAAGTTTCACTTGCCCCCTTATTCAATATATATATATATATATATATTTCTTGTCCCGTTGAAAAATTTCACCTATGCCGTTGAAAAATTTATAACCTAAAAGGACAAATTAAATCGTATCATCGTGGTAGGACCCTAAATAACACTTTCGTAATGGATAAGTTATAGTTCAGAAAAAATATTTTTTATAAAAAATATCACAAAAAAATTCTCTTCAATACAAAAGAGATATAATAAAAATAAAAAATGATTATAATAAACAGAAAAGGTAATTAAAATTTAAATACAACTTATATTTTATTATCATTTTTTTAGTAATTAATCTTATTATATTATATATTTAATATACTTTAATAATATTTAAAATTGTTTTTATAAAAATATTAATTCTTATTTTTAGTGTAAATTATGCCCCCATCAACTATTTTTCCGCCACTAGCTATTACATGAAGACATCCTTAAAAGAAATGAACAGTTATATATATATATATATATATATATATAATTCTTCTAAATCACAATATATATACACATATATATAAATATATAAGATATTGATAATTACTTTATGATTCTAAACAAATTAGGTAAAAGATTAATCTTTTAAAAAATTTTACATCATTCTAATCATATCTTTATTAAATATCTTATATAAATGTCTTAATAATGAACACTAAGATTTCACTGCATCATTTTTTTAAAAGTAATAAATAAAGAACAAGTATAGTTGAAAAAATTATAAAAACTATTTAATGCACTACATTTATGATCAAACAAGACTTCTTAAAAATATCTTATGTTATGATTCACAAGAAATATATATATATATATATATATGTATATATCACATTTATATGTAAGAGTAATTATTAATATAAAAGAGTAAGAGTGACGATATACATTTGAGGACGCACCAAAAATGTGGGTGTCATATCAAGGATGATGATTGAAAAACTTATCTATTTTTCTTTTAGTATTCTTATAATGTTTTAAAATAATTCAAATGAATCATCATTTAGATGTAATGGGATTCGCTCCTTGTCGTTCTCATGATCATAATAATTCATAATAACTCGTAAGTCCATATACATTGTTGGCGTGTTAACCCAAAACTTTCGATAGCAAGGATTAAATTTTACTTCAATAAAATTTTTATTTATTTTTAAATTAACTTTATCTTTTTCATATTTACTCTTATTAACTACCTTATAATAAATATAAAGTCATCATTAATAAGGACATTTTTGAAAAAAGAATAATGATTACATATCGAAAGGTTAAAAATATTATATTTTTAAATATTTAACTTTTTAAAAAATATTTTATATTTTTAAATGGAGGGAGTAATAAAAATGAATGGTGATATGTGGCATGCCAGAAATGTGTGGACGTACGTCTTATCAAGGGCTGGCGATTTAAATTGATTTAGTTTTTTTATTTTAAAAACAATTTGTTGATGCAAACAAAATCGTCTGTACTTTGTTGCCAAAATGCCGAAAAGCATAGGAGATTACTACAAAACTAAATTAACGAATATGAAGATTACTACACCATATCTTTATAGTTTTGAATAAACAAAATTTAATCAACAGTAATGCCATTATATATATATATATATTATATAAAAATTTCTGTTTTTTTTTTCCTGGGGCGGCCCAATCATGGCTATTAAATAAAAGTAAGGAAATACCTAAAATTGTTTAACAAAGTCTGGTCCGTTTCATTTCAATTACTCACTAGCGAGTAGTGACGTTCCATCATCATAAACAGACAACACAACGCTGGCCCTCATGAATTATATATGGTCGCCCATTTGTCTTGGACTTTCTCGCCTTCATTTTTTACGCAATCCTCTTAAAAATTTGAAGGAGCAAAATAACCTTGTTTTTTATAGGTTGATGCTCATTATTATCTTTATTTTTTTTTTTGTAAGAGATATTTGTGTGATTTACTTATTTTCTTAAATTTTATGTTCACATTTTTTTTTTATTTACACCAAACATGTAAATTACTTTCATGGAAGAAGGCCGGCCCACTTTTCATGTTTTTTTTATACACTTACTTGAAATCTAGTACTTTGAATATTGTCCAATTCAAGATGAAAGATTTACTCTTTCACTTAAAAAATATAAAACATTTTTAATCGAATCTCGCCTCCTAATAAAATAGTTATCTATTTTTAAACTAACTTTTTTTTTATATTTATCTTTATTAAACACCTTACAATAAATATAAAATTATTCATCAATAGGGACACTTTTGAAAAAAAAATAATAATTACAAAGACTAAAAATTTTACATTTTTTAACATTCAATTCCTCAAAAAATACCTTACATTTTTTAAGGGAGGGAGTATATATTTTTCTTTTTCATTCCATTTCTAGTTTTGCAGGGCATTTTTCGCCATCTGTCAACGAAAATGTCGTTTGAAAAACATGGTTTTAATATCCATTTATGCAAAAGCAATTTTCAGACTAGGGCTTTATTCAACAAATAAAGATTCACTGCTATATATTCATCTCAAAGAGACATAGATAACCCATAAGTACAACATAATAAAAAGCATTAATTCAACACTTACAGCATATATATATATATATATATATATGCCTTATATTAATACATGAATCATAAAAGCATTCAAACACACTTTTGACAGACGATCCCACAGTACTGCATGATGAACGGAACTCAACAACACTGACCTTATTCTTTAGCTCATCACACACTTTCGATTTCAGATTACACAATACACACATGAACTCAAGAACACATCACAACCTTATTCTTTAATTTAGTTTACTCATTGATCTTGTACCTACTTTAATTTGAATCCATGTTTTGTTTGTCCTAGTTCTCTGCTCTCCCCTCTTGTGCACTGAGAAGATGAGCATCAACATCTTTTGCCAAGGATTTTGCCAAGTCCAAGTAGCCTTTTGGATCCGAGATTCCGGCATGGATCTTCTCATAAAGGAAGCTCCACTTTGCAACAGCACCACCTCCTTCCTTGTCGGTGACTTTTATTATGCACTTGAAACTCTTGTGTTCCTCCTTAACATCTCCTTCGAATAACTCTATTTTCAATGTTTTGTTCTCTTCATCTATCTCTTCAAATCTTTCCTTACATGTCACCACCTTACCGTCTGTCATGTCCCCATTTTTTACACAAATTAAGAGTCGGTCTTAATATTTAACAAAAATCATTAATCATCAAAATTACTACCACCAAAGACAATTAACTAGATACCGATTGCCTCCTTCTTGCGCTCACATGGACATGTGGGTTTGAAACAAACACAAAAATAAAAAACAAAAATCTACTGATGTAAGTACAAGATAAGAATAAAAATAGGCTTGAGCCTATAACAAGGGCTTCAAGCCTCGGCATGAAATCAAACTTTTTATTTTTCGGTTCAAACCTGAACCTGTCATAAGCCTTGCCTAGTTTGAAGCTTTTTTTAGATACTTACTAAATAAATAGACCTTCAAAAAGGCTTCTCAAATCAGGGTTTAAAGGCCTTAATTAGGAGGTACTAGGAGGCAAACGGGGTGTATTTTTCAATCAATATACAGACACCAATCAAGACCTAAAAGATATACAAAGAATAAATAGAACTGACGCAATTTCCTTTAAATTTAAAGAGTGTTACCAACAGTATAAGTCCAGTGCTTGGCAGATCCAATGGCGTGCCAGTCGTCTCCTTGATGAAGCTGGCCAGCATGGACACAGCTAGCGACGTTGGGAAGATTGTGAAGTGTCTTAACGAAGAAGTTGAAGAACTCAGTGGCAGATGATTGGACATCAATTTCAATCTCCAGTTTACCAGTAAGAGCCATACCTCAGTGATGTATTAATGATAAAAAGATCTCAAAAAACAAAACAGAGAACTAATATGTGAAGCAGAGAATGGAAGGGAATACTAGCCCAATTGACCTTTATATAGACAATCCATGGTAGTAGTGGATAATATGTGTACAGAAGCTAGTCAAGTCTCAAGACCCTCATCTTATTGCAATGGATCGTTTAATTAATCTAATTTAGATGGTCCAAAATTAAAGTAAAATTTTATAATTTTTAGCAAATAATTTTATTTTAAAAAAGTGCACAGTCGGATGATTATCACTATTTTAGATTATATACATGTTAAAATGCTAAATTATTAAAATTACAATAATAAAAAAACTTAAATATGGGTTGTGCAAATTTAATCTAGAAATACCGGATTCTTTTTCAGTAGCATGCATACATTCTCATCATTTTGAGGGCTTAGGATCCAACTTGGATAAGGATTGTGTAGATACTCGGTAGTACAATTGGGCTTGATGAGTAGCTTGTTTAAACCATTTTTATAAGGGTTAAGACTTCAAAAATCATAGATTTTTAGTATAATTGGGCTTCCAAATCCAACATGTTTGGCCCTATAAAGACGGGCTCGAGCTCAGGTAGCCTTCCAAACTAGCTCTTCTTAATTTTTTTAAAAAATTACATTAAATAATTAAAAAAGTGAGAAAACATGAATGATTTGTAATTTATTTTATAGGTTAGCTTGTGAATTAAAATGAGGTTTGTGGCCATGAAATTTATTTCTCTTTTGTTCCTCGTGAATTTGTTATTTAAAGTGCTTTCATGGTAGTGTGATACTGTGAAACAATTATTGGTTTAGTTAATTTGTTTGATTTGTTAACAAGTTTAGCTGTGGAATATTTGATTCCTTTAACTTCTAATTTAAATGCTGATAGTTTTGTGATGAAATTTTTTTATATGTAGGACTCTCTTAATGATTTGGAATTCATTCTCTTCTCTTATCTTATCTATGCATTTTATACACTTATATTTGAGTGATTAGTATGTAAAAGCTTGACTTATGATTATGATATAATTAAGGATCTATATTTTTTATTTATTTTGATGGGTTACGGGCCTTTCCCTAGGCTAAATAAAGACCAAACTTCAAAAAATGATCAAATTTAAGAAAACTGAGTTTATGGGCCGGACTTGCCTGTTGCATATCTTTCTGCTCATATGGATGCAATTTAATTTAAAAATTAATAATTCTAAAAATAATAATTTAATTAAAAAAAATTAAGGGGAAATAACAATTAAGGACTCCATAAGACTATTAATTATAAGTAGAGATCCTAAATTATTGAAATCACTATCACAAGTTGGAACTATTGTTGATTTCAATTGAAAAAACTAAGATCCCAAGTATTATGAGTTGGAACAAATGAAATTACTACTATGATTTAGGATTATTGTTAATCAAATTCTCAAATGTGGATCCTGTTTTGTACAACTAAAATATATTAACAATTATTCCAACATATAATAGTAATTTTAATAATGTCTTTTTTTTTTTATTTTTCAAGTAAGACTCGATCAACTATTTTAATTCCAAATAAAGGTTATGGTCTTTCAGTAATTTAGGGTCCCTAATTATAATTAATAGTTTTATGGAATCCTTAATTATCATTTTTCCAAAACTTAGTTGCATACCTTTCAATTGTTTTCTACCTCATTTAATGTTTTGGAATCGTGCAAAAACACATGGTCAATGCTAACAAAAGCATTTATTTTACAAAAATAATTCTTTTTGCTCTTATTAATTAGAAGGTAAAGGTGAAAGTTATTAATTTTTAAGATAAAATTAATGAGATTTAAGATTTTTCTTTATTTTTTTAAAACATACTAGAAATAACTTATAAATAAGCCACGGTCCTCTCTATCATAGTTACGTTATTGAACCGCCATGCCAATAAGTGTGGACAATTCTTCTATATCTATCTATTATCTATTTATCTATAGGTGCTGGATGATGATAAATAATCACTTTGGAAAAAGTCTAGTAAATGTTCATTACAACAAGAAAAGTGTGTATTGAAAACCTCATTAGTCATTGAACTGATCAAGAGACCAATTTAATAGTTAATAGTCAAAATTATATCAAACTATAATCAAACCAATCATAAACAAAACAATCTATTAAACTGATCAAGACATTATTTAATGGTTTATCGGTTCAATGACTCATCCTTTCATACTATTTCTAAGATCTAGATCTATCATTTAATTAATTTGATTTAGATGGTTTGAATTTAAATTTTTTAATAGATAATTTTTGACAAATAAATAAATTTATATTAACAATGGCTTGATAAAAGTATGGATTATGTTTTGGCAAGTGTTTGAACATTGACAAATCAAGTCCAAATATTAATAAATGATTGTTCGGGTTTTCACAACATGTCCAGAATTAACAATGATCATGGAAATGCTTAGAAACTAAATTTATAACATATATATTATTTTATTTAGCATAATATTGATAACTTGTCAATAATCAAGAAACAAGTTGATCTTTGAAAGTTGCAATTTTTTTTTTTGAATACTAACAAGTGAATTCTAAATATTAACAAGTGATTGTTGAACTATGAATAACAATACATTTAGAATTAGCGATGGCCATAGAAATGCTTGAAAATTACTCAATAATCAAGGATATAAATTATTTTATTTAGTATAATATTGATAACTTGTCAGTAATCAAAGAACAAGTTAGTTTTTGAAAATTGACAACTTATTTTTTGAATATTGATAAATAAAGTTGAAACATTAACACGTGATTATTCAAGTATGAATAAAAATACATTTAGAATTAACGACGTCCATGGCAATGCTTGAAAACTAAATTTATAATATATATTATTTTATTTAGCATAATATTAATAACTTGTCATTAGTCAAGAAAAATTTTGTCTTTGAAAATTAACAACTTATTCTTTTGGATTAATATTGATAAGTCAAGTCTAAATATTAACAAATAATTGTTCATATATAAATAACAATACATTCATAATTAACAATGGCTATGAAAATGTTTGGAAACTAAATTTATAACATATATCAATAACTTGGTATTAATATTATAGCATAATATTAATAACTTGTCAACAATCAAAGAACAAATTTGTATTTGAAAATTGATGACTTGTTTTTTGAATATTGACAAGTTGAGTCAAAATATTAACAAGTAATTGTTCATATGTGAAAAAGAATACATCTAAAATTCACAGCTACTTGGTATTTTGGGAACCCTAGTCCCAAATGGCCCCAATTCCCCAATTTCTAGAGTTGAATGCCGTTGATCATGTTGTAAGTGCTGGAGCCATAGTGCCCAGCTCGCAGCAACAATTAGGCTGTTCATGTTGGAGCTCTAGTGATGGCGTCGATGGCTAGGGGTTTGTTTTAGGGAAAGATCGATGGCTAGGGGTTTGTTTTAGGGAAAGAAAAAAAGAAAAGCAAACAAGGGCATTCAGATAATTGAGCTTTAGAATTTAATTACATTTAAGGGCTTTGAGCCCTTCTTGTTATAAAATCTCTTCTTAAGGGCCCTCAATGTAATTCTCCCAATAATCTTCTCAAAATTGGTTTGTCTGTCAATTTTCGACTATCATGTGGGTATTGAAGATAACGATCTCCCACACATGTCCAAGATTCAAAAGTAGTTGTTGAGAATTATTTTTGTTTGGATCTAGTTTTTATGCAGTGAGAACGACCCAACAGCATATTTTCAAATCATATGTGGCCCTCGACACTTAAATAGAATTATTTTTTATGTACATATTTAACCATACTTATTTTTTTAGCCGAAATTTAATCATAGTTACGTTATTGAAGCACCACACCAGCAAATGTGCGTAAGTACCCTGTTATCTATTTTATCTATATATGTTATATGATTATAAATAATCACTTGGGAAAAGGTCCAGCAAGTGCCCAGTGCAACAAGGAAAATAGGCACTGAAAACTAAACCAATCCTTAAATCTATCAAGAGACCAGTTCAACTGTTCAAAATTAATAGTCAAAACTGCATCCAACTGTTATTAAATTGATAATTAAAAAAACATGTTATTAAATTAATAACAATATTGTTTAACAATTTACTGATTCAACTAGATGGGTTTACTTGGATTTTCGTTCTGTTTATAAGATCTAGACAGTTTAATTAGTCTAATTTAGATGGTCTAAATTTAAAATTTTCAATAGATAATTTATAACAATTAAATACAAAAATACTCAAAAACGGATTGTGTAAATTTGATCCAAAACGTACGACCAGATTTCTGACTTTGCATCCCATGCTATTCATTTTTGGGGGTATAGGATTCAGTTTCGACAAGATTTTCGTCAAGGATGCAATTTAATTTAGAAATTAATAATTCCAAAAATAATAATTTAATAGGTAAAAGTTTATTTGCGCACCCTCCAAATTGCTTCTATATGATCTAATGTTTTGGAATCCTACAAAAAGCTGATTGTTGATACTATTAAAAACATTTAGTTTACAAAAAATTAACAAACTAAGGACATTCTTTTATGAAAATTACTCCCTCTTGTCCTTATTATGTATGGTATCTTTTCGAAAATATTATTTGGTCTTTAATATAATGCATTTTGTGGGATATTAATCATAATTTTTTAAAATTATCCCTATTTAAATTCATTAATTATGAGATAAAATATAATGCAAATTTAATTTTTTTTACTTAAATAGGAGTGAAATTAAAAGTTTATTCTATTTTTGAATAAAGTTAATGATTTATCTTCCTCTCACTGTTATGGTGAAATAGTCAGAAATTTTTGATAATAGAAATCAGAGAAAGAGTATGTTGGAGTTTAGGGTTAATTGGTTGTCATTCTCTTACATAATTAAGAAAATAACCATCTTAAACCTTATGCTTAAACAATTAGTTTCACTTATATATATATATATATATATATATATGAGACTAGATGGAATAAATCTGAAAAGGCTAATAGAATACTCCCTCCATTCAAAAATGTATAGCATTTTGATCAGAATCTCACCCGCAATAAAGTAGTTATCTACTTTTAAACTAACTTTATCTTT